CCCAAGTCCTTTATTGAAGGACTGTCTAGGTGCTATGGGCATCCTTTGTTCACCTCACATGGATATGTCTAATTGTCTTTCACTTGTCCTTATTTTACAGATCCTACTGCAAAGACAGAAAGTGACACAAGGTCACATGTTTACTGCCTTCCCATGTGTTTCTCCTTATGTGGCCGTTGCAACATGCAAATTTGATCAAGTCTCTTTGTAGCTTAAAATGAGTCAGTGGCTTTCTAATATGCTAAGGACAAGAGCCAAAATCCTTTACATGGACCATAAAGCTTTGCATGATCTGTCACCTGCTTTTTTTTCTAGATTTATTTTTATTTATGTGTATAAGTGTTTGCTTGCATGTATGTTATGTATGTGCATCATGTGTGTGCCTGGTACCTGTAAAGGCCAGAAGAGAGTGATGGATCCCCTGGAACTGCAGTTACAGATGATTGTAAGCTGCTGTGTTGGTGCTGGAAACTAAACCCTAGTCCTCTGCAAGAGGCAAAGGACAGTCAGTGCTCTTAGCACTGAGCCATCTCTCTAGTCCTGTCACCTGCTTTTTTCTCCTCCAACTTCTCTGTCATGGTTCTTACCCTGACAGCCATGGTGGCTTGTCAACAATATCTTGCCTGTGTGATATTTTTCTAATACTTCATTATTTTTATTTTATGTGTATGTCTATTGCCTGCATGTGTGTAAGTGCATCCATTCATGCAATGCCCTCGGAGAACAAAAGAAGGCATTGGATCCCCAGGAACTGGAGTTACAGATAGTTGTTAGCCCCTATGTGGGTGCTGGGAATTGAACCCAGGTCCTCTGCTAGAACAGCCAGTGCTCTTAACTGTTGAGCCATCTCTCCAGCCCCCAGCCTGTGCAATATTTGTAGCATAAGTTTCCTCTGCTCTAAATACTCCATTCCACAGCTGGTCATAGTGCTACATACTTAAATTCCTAGTGTTCAGGGGGCTGAGGTAGGAGGTTTATGATTTCCCAGCCACCCTGAGCTATAGCAAGTTCCTGACCAGCTTGGTCTTTAGGAAGACCTGTCTCAAACAAAAAAGTAAATAAATATAAAGATACCACTCCAACGTTACAACCCATTAAGTGATCTTCCACTGCTATTGGCAAAAGATTCTTGTGTTATCTTTGTACTTCTAAAAGTATGGTATTCTAAGTTTGGGACACTGCTTAGTAATCAGCTGCCTGTTGCCTCGTTGCACCTGCCATAGCAGAATTGTTTCCATGGTGATGAATATTAAGAATATCAGACTTTATCTTATGGGGATTTAAGTTAATGCCTCAGTTGATACATCTCTCCAGAGGAAGAGATGTGTACACATGTACCTTTGGTGGTGCCTCCATATCGAAGAGGAAATGAAGAGAGAAGATACAGAAGCACATGTGGTGGTGGGCAGGTCCCCACCTCCACTTCACTTTAGTGCATGTGTGTTACTTGTGGGTCAGCTCAACATCCCTGAATGCTGGGTAAGCTGCAATCCTGTTAAGGAGCACTTTCAGGGGGCAGAGATGCCTAAAACAAGACTAGGATAAGGGCAAACTATAGCTAGTATGGTTTAGCCTCTGTCGATCTAGAAATCTGGTCTAAGGCTTGGAAAAGAGCCTCCGTTTTCCTCTCTCCTTTACTCTATACGCACACATCCCGTAGTCCTCAAAGACTTTTCCAAAGGGGCCCTATCAGATACTTAAAATATGCCTCCCTCTTTCTATCTGTGCCCACTGTTGGAAGATCAACTCCAAGGCCAGATGGGTTCCTCGTGTCTTTGGCCTTTATATGTTGAAAGTCATAAAGAAGGGATTTTCCCAACCACCCCTCTGTGCAGCTGATGAAGGCTCCCTGTCTACAGAGCCACCACTCCTCTGAGAATACCTGTTTTTCACTTTCTCCACTTCATTAACACATTTGATCTTCAGAGACGGTCCCTAGTTTCTGTGGAAACAAAACTTCACCATGAAAATATATATGAACACACATGGCTCCCACAAATTTTCTTGAATTCAACTTTTATCATCTGTTGTTAAACCTTTAACGATTTCTCATAGACCTGTGAATTTATCATTTTTTCAATATATATTTTTATTGAATTTTTGTGCATTCCATACAACACATCTTGATCATATTTAGACCTCTCCCATGGTCCACACACAGGGTTTCATGCATTCTGTCATATATGTTAAAATCTGTTGAGTCAAGTTTGTGTACCCAAATGTCCCTCAGTGTGAGTTCATCCACTGGCGCTTGTTCAGCCTATCTAGTGTCACTCCTTTAAAGAAGCTCAACTCTCCCTCACCCAGCAGTGATCAGCTGCCAATAGTTCCTTGGTTGGGGCCTCCTACCCATTTCCTCAGTTCTTTACTGGGTCTGATTGAGCACGCATGGATCTTGGACACGCTGTCACCATTGCTGTGAGTTCAACATGACCAAGTTCCCAGAAGCCTATAAGACTCTGTTTTCCTTATGGTCATGCACCACCCCTGGCTCTTACAATCTTTCTGTCTCCTCTTCCACAATGGTCCCTGAGCCAAGGGTGGGTGAGGTCTAATATACGAGTCCTATCCAGCCTTTTATTCTCTACACTTTGGCCAGATGTGGCCTTCTGTGTTCACCACCCTCTGTTGCATGAGGGAACTTCGCTGATAAGAGTTGAAAGATGTGTTGGTATTCTCTCTGCCCCCTGTTCTAGTATGTTCCATGTGCCTTAGGTATAGAGGTACTATTGTGGATGTGTCACTTAGGGCTGGGCATCTCATAGACATGAATTCTCTATTTGACCAGATGTAGAACTCTGTGATAGTCTCCACCTGTTGCTAAAAGAAACTTCTTTGATGAGTGGTGACTGGGCTACTTGTCAGGGTAATCTGCAGGGCTCAGATAGAAAGATCAGGAGGGGGGCCTATGGGCAAGGTGGGGGTAGGGACAGTGTGGGGAGGGTCTGACTAGCTAGGCAGAGTAGAAATAGACCCTGAAGGGGAAGGAATTTATCATTTAAAAAATTAAATGACAAGGCAATTTTTATAATACAAAATTAAAAATTTGTAATATAGCATACTTTTAAACTTTTGTAATTACTTTTATTATATATAATTTATGTAGTTAATTAGTATACATTATTGTGGACTGTTCTGTTTCTTTTTCTATCTTTTTTTCTTTTTTTTTTTTTTTTTTAAATGCCAGTGGAAATCTACATTCCAGAGTATCAAATGTCTTGTCAAAGGTATACTGCAGAGCTATACTCCCAGGCCCATATGTTGAACTATTTTCCATGTGTCCATATTCCGGATATTCCTTTTTAATTTCACTTAAAATTTTCATTTTTATTTATTGAAAGAGATATTTCAGAATTATGTCATAAATCTCTCTTATACATATCCAAAAATATAAACTTCCATGGGCACATAATTTTGCTTAAGAAATAGAACAGTTCCACCTGAAACACCTTGCATGCACCTCCCACATCATACAGCCTTCTTTTTCAACCTGTAGATGGATATCCTGGGTTTTTCTAGATGCTTTCAGCAAATCTGCACCTCCAGGCATTTCCTGCTGTTTTTGAACCGTTCCACAAATGGAGCCCATACAATCTTTCCATCTTAATTTTATTAGTCAACTAACTGGACTTAATAGGTTTTTTTAAGAAATGACATGAAATTGAGAAGTAGACATGTTAGAGAAGAAATGAGGGAAGTTGGAGGAATGAAATGGGGGGAGAAAGGATCATATTTCATTGTATACATGTATTTAATAAAAATTATTAAAAATTGATATTAAAGCAACTCTTTGGAATACATATTGTTTATCGTTTATTAAAGATGAAAATGAATTTGCATACTTATGCATGTGCTTGTTTATTTTTACGTAATTAAATCTTGACTTTGATTCTATTCTGCAGGATGTAGAACATCAACATTTTTCAGACTTGATCAATATTTTGATTTTACAATCATCATTGCTCAGCTTGCCACTTCACATAAATACACACTGAAAAATAGCAGAAGTAAGTTCAGGGCCATTTCAGAAATTCTTCCCTGTCCCAAGCCAAAATCCATGTAACAATTTTTTATGAAACTCAACTCAGCAACTCAAACAGCAGTTTTTAAAATCAAACGTACTTACGCAATACAATCTAAAGATACATGATCAGGATGAGGGTAGAAAATACTAAAAGGCTTTGTTTTCTATAATTAAGCCATTTCTTTTATAAGAACAGACAACTGTATATATAGTAAAAACACTACAGTTCATAATGTAGAGCAGTCTCTAATCCAAGATGCTATCTCAGACACCTTCCATTGGTGTTGCATGACAGTGCTTACACTGTGAGGTGTATGTATTATGTGTTCAGAGCCAAGGCTATAGTGGTCATGCATTGACATGGGAAAGTGCTGCCCACCGGAAACTTCAGACTCATTAAGCATTTGGTTTTGAATTAATTTTTTTTTTTTACATTCACAGCTGTTACCAGAGTTTGTGTGTGTGTGTGACCCTACATTCAGAGTTGTTACCCACAGTTTGAGAAGCTGTGATCTAGATAATAGCTTTTCTCTGCCAACTGCATGGCAAGGCCACTGCATCTTGCCATGGGGGGATATGAAAACTGCCTTGGCCCAATTAGGAACTGGACTGAGTGTTCACACTCATGACTCTTCAGGAAGGAGGGGAGAGTAAGTGTGCAAATGTGTGTGGAGAGCAAGTTCCCCTTAGTGCTCCATGTCCTCCTTATTAGGGAAATAAAGCCAGAAAGAGCTGCAGTTCTTGTCTCCACATTGACTCAGCCAGGCTGGCAGTGGGAGCTGACTGGAGTGCAACTAATGTCATAGAAGCCACTGTGAAGTCACCACCAGTGAAGTCACCACCAGGCTGCAGGACACAGAAGTGCAAACAGAAGATAGAGTTCTTTTGGAATTATGTGACCTTTATTATTAAAACTGCAGTTAAGGAAGCTGGGATTGGTTCACAGGGGCTGTGTGGCTGCTTCCTGCTCTGGATCTTAGTCAAAGGATTTGGCTTCATAGATGATCCTCTCTGTTGTCTCCGAGGTTACTGTGCTCATGATCTCTAAGTCCTTGCCTTTCTCCACCTTCGTCTCCATGTTGTGCTTCTCCACCTTCTTCGCAACAATGTCTAACCCTTTTCTATCACGTGAGGTGACCCAAGCTTTTGAAGTAGGCCTTATTAAGAAGCTCCTTAAAAAAGAGCCAATTTTACTGGAATGTTTACCCATAGACTCTGAGCTAGCTCCTGATCGACTCTTCCTGGGTTTGTGAGCCGTCCTGGACTGACTTTTGTGAGCCGAGCCATGCCTCTTGCCCCTTAAGCTGCTTTGCCCTTTTCCTTTTTTATCCTCCCTTGCTTTTCCATGGCCAGATACAGACCGGTGGGAGGAGGATTTCCGGTTCTTATCCCTGCTCGTGCTGTGCTGATTCGCACCTGCCGTGCGGTGGTGGGAACTTTTCCTGCTGGCGTTTCTGTCCTTTTCTCTTCTTTCCCTTTTCTCCTTCTGGAGTTCAGGGGTGGTTTGGGAAACTCTCTGGCTTCCATCCCTTTCACACATGTAGCCTTCGCTCTGCAAGGTTGACACCAGAGGGGCCATGACCAGAGGATCCTCTTTTTCAGCTGCAGGCCCCTCGGTCGTCATGGTGCCTGCAAAGACCACACTCACGGTGCTCTCTTGGCTGGTGGTGACAACACCCCCTCCAGAAGAGACCTCTGAGGAGGTGCTAGCAGCTCCTGCCAAGACCACATCAACCCCTTCACAGGATATGTTTGCAGCAGCGGCTATGACCTTGTTGGATCCACCTCTTCCTTGATTTTTGGTGGCTGTTCCTGCCAGGGCTGTGGCCACTCGGGCTGAGCCTGGAGACTTGGTTGCAGCCATACTTACAGCACCCGAGGCAGAGCTTGTAGCTGTCCCTGGTTTTGCCACACCTGCGGTGGCTGCCGTACCTGCTGCCCCTGCCAGAGAGCCTGTTGTTACTGCTGCAACTGCCGTGCCACCTGCTGCCCCTGCTGCTCCCACTTTGGCAGACCCTGGAGTTCTGGTGGCTGCAAAAACTGAAGTACCCTGTTTTGTTCCCTCTCCCCCTGCAAATGCAGCTGAGGTAGCTCCTGACACATCCCGAAGCTTTTGATGTCCAGACTCCTGATCCCCTTCTCCTTGGTCCTGGGAGGCCTGTGTCAAGGGAGGAGAAATAGTGAGATAGAGGTGACAGACTGGGAGGCCAGAACTCTCGGCTCTTCTCTCATCCTGGAGGTCAGTAACCCAAGGGCTTATCAGTGATCCCTTCTAAAGCATCTCTGTCAATGGCCGCTCAATTTTACCAGAGCAAGTTGGGACCAAGGAAGTGTGCATGTAGATCCCCATTGTTCTAGTTTCTCTTCCACATCTGTGCTTCTGTCTTTGCAGGACACACTTCTACAAGTGGAATTTTTGAATTGAAGGATACACTTGACATATTGGGGGCCTTGAAACTAATTGTGTGTGTATGTGTACACATGGGGATTGTGCTGTTCTACAAAAACTAAACATACATGGTAATCACAGGGTGACAGATCCTAGGAAGGAAGGGATTCTTAAGTATTAAAAAATACTCTGCACTAAAAACTTGCTTTCAAAGTAGAGAGTGGACTAGTAGTTACCAGTACCTGGGAAAGGTACCAGGGACCAGGGTGACTAGTAGGACAAAAGTACAGTTACATAAAAGGAATAACTTTCTGTGTCCTGTATCCCAGTAGTATAACAATGATTGACAATAGATTGTGTTGTTCTAAATAACTAGTAGAGAGGATTTTGCATGTTCCTACCACAAAGAAATGACCAATATCTCAGGTGATGGATATGCCAAATCACCCCAATTTGATCACTACATATTATATGCAAGTATTGAAATGTCACATATATCATATTAACACATACAATTAATACACATGCCCTAAATTAGAAATATATGTACTCAGTCAATTGTGGTGGCGGCACCTGCCAGCATTCTCCACACTTGAGATGCTAAGGCAGGAGGATGACCAGAGCAGGCCAGGCTGAGCTACATAGTGAGTTCCAGGCCAGGCTGGGCTACACCATGAAAACCCTACATGTGTACGTGTGTGTGTACATGTATGTGTATGTGTGTATGTATATGCAAATAAATGTTTCACAGCAGATGAGGCTGTCTGAGTTGGTGTATAAATAGTTTAAGAAGATTGCAACAGCAGGCAGTCATAAGGGCTTACAGTCCTGAATGTGAGACCAGCATCATTGATACATCTCTGACATTTAGCCTCATGACACATTTTGCAGACTTAATTCAACCTCCTTGAGTGGTAGTAAGTCCCTAGTGTTGGCTCGCCCACTTGACCCCAAACCCTTTTCAAGTGCAGTGCGTTTCCAGGTGAGCTCAGAAAGCACCTGAGGCTCTGTGGGGTCTGCTCTGAGAGGTTCCCTTAAGTTCCCTGCCCCACTATCTCCTTTAGAAGCTTACAAGAAGGCTTTTGCTGTCCTCTGAGATTTTTGCATCTCCCGTGTCAAGTGTTGGGCTACTGCTGCAGCTCTCCATTGGTGGCCTCAGGAGATAGACAAGCTTTTCCCAGTAGCAAAAGAGGTCTTCTCGTGCATCAGAGGAGGGACACAGTTGCAGGTAAAAAGTTCGGCCTGTGGCAAGCTTCAGGCGCAGCTGCTGTTTCTCCCGATCGTGGACGGAGATCTTGACAAACTTCAAGGGAAGCAACCTGGTGAGCTCTAGAGTCTTCGAAGGCTTGAGAAGACCCCTCCCCTTGATCAACCAGGCCCGTCTGGCATGGTCTTCGCCGATTTTAGTGGGTCGGGCCAGCAGCAGGACATCAGGTAGTGGGAGGACGGGGCTGGTGGATGCGATGCACACGGTCACCATTCGGACGCGGTTATGAACGTCAGTCACCTCTCCTTTCTTGCTAATCTGGATAAAGTCACTCTCGAACATCGGTGCGTACTTGAAAATATCATACTCTCCTCCCTTGTGCAGTTGCCGTTGTAGGGTTCCCATGGAGGTGTTGAACACGCCCATGGAGCGGTAGCTGTGTGCTGTGTAGTAAGGTAGCACACGGTCATTGCTCATGGTTCTCTTCATTCCAGGCATCTCTGCCAGCCACAAATTGTGTCCCCAAGAGAGGGAGGGAGTGAAAACAATTGCCCATCTCGCGGTAAGGCTTCTGCCCTCCTTGCCTCACACCTCCACATTTAGCCCCTGGTGCCCTTTGTGACCTGTCACCAGCACTCCCTTGTCCCTGTCCTCCAGGCATTCACCCCCTCAAAGCCAGATCAACATCAAGAAGCCTTTCCCTACGCCAGCCATACTGCTCCCTTCACAGGGGACAAGCTGACCTGCCAGGATGTGATGTGCTGAACATCTTTAAAAATCAGAATGTTGAGATGCTTCAGTTACAGGCCGGTCTCCTTTTTTGTTTTTGTTTTTGTTTTATTTTTTTTTGGTTTGGGGGTTTTTGTTGTTGTCTTTTGAGACAGGGCCTCCCTGTAGCCCCAGACTGACCTTGAACTTACAGAGATCTGCCTGTCTCTGCCTTTCAAGTGCCTGCTCAGGTCTGCTTTTGTAAGTGTTCAGCCTGTGCTTCTCCAGCTTGGTTCTCCAGTCCTGTCTTCCAAGGACTGTCTTACTGCAAGTATATCTTTTTAAATATTATTTATTTTGTTTGTTTTGATTTTTTGAGGCAGGATCTCACTTGGTAGCCCTGGCTGCCCTAAAACTCACTATGTAGACCAGGCTGGCCTCAAACTTACCAAGGTCCACCTGCTTCTGCCTCCTGAGTACTGAGATTAAAGGTATGCACCACTATGCCCAGCCTATTTTTAATATTTTTAATTTTGTGAATGGGGGAGTTGTGAACATGTGTGCAGTGGCCATGGAGGCCGGAAGAGGGCATGGATCCCCTGGAGCTGGAGTTACAGGTAGTTGTGAGCTGCCCAGGGAGGGTATGGGAACCAAACTTGGATTCTCTGCTAGAGCAGCAAGTACTCTTTACCACTGAGCCATCTCTCCAGCCCCCTTCAAATGTATTTTTTCTTCAACTGAATGACTTCTTGGGGATACAATCCTGGAGGTGGACTGTGCTTGCTAAAAGCAGGATCTATCTGTACTCCGTCACCAAGCCCTCAGTGTGAGGTAGCACAGACCTAGCCAACTCTTGGTAGCTGTTAAAGATTTTGTTTTGTACAAAGGAGGAGAGTAGGATATTTTCAACTATGCACCGATGTTTGAGAGTGACTTTATCCAGATTAGCAAGAAAGGAGAGATGACTGATGTTCAAAAAAACTGCAGCTCCTGCCACATCTCAGAACTGGACAGTGGTATCTGGGATTTCCACAGCTTTCTTAGTCATCTTCCCATTTGAGAAAGCTAATGTTTCAAAAACATAAATTTATGGTAAGGAAACTGAGGCTGCAGTTTGTCTTGCTTGGGGTCAGAGTGCAGGACTGGGTTCTGATTCCAATCAGAGCTCCTCTCTGCACCAGGCTGTGGGCCTGTTAGACTCTTGCTCTGCACACATTGGGAAGCCTGGTGGCTAGCAGTGTTGGGGAGTGGGTCATTACTAGGAACCACATGGATTAACAAAGGCCTTGAGTCACCATAGGATTTCCCACACTGGTATGCCTACTGCTTCACCCTTGATGTTTGGTTTCTTTGAAAAGTTTTTCAGAGAAATCGTGGCAAGGACATTTTCCTGGAGTTTTTTGTTGTTGTTGTTTTAATTTTTTTCCATTTTTTTCCCTTTGTGCAAGGTGATGAATCCAAAATCCCCCTCCTCCGGTTAGAAGAGTACTTTTGAAATAAACACACATCTCCCAGACCCACTGAGTGCTATGTAGAGGCCTTGAAATGAGCCCCAACCACAAAAGGACGTTTGTTCCTTCCCCATGCATACCTCAGTGCCTAGCCAGCTGCAGCTTGCCGATGAACATGGACTTGCTTGTGTCTGTCGAGGTTCTTTCTTCCATCTATGTAGTCAACAAAATAATTTAATGAACAACTATTTGTTTGTTACAAACTAGAAAAGAAAAATGCAAAAATAAAATTCTTTGCCACAGAAGAGCTAAAACATTTTTCTGAAGATATTGAGTTACTTCAAGAAGAGGAGGAAGAGGAGGAAAGAAGAAAAGAGGAGGAGGAAGAGGAGGAGGAGAAGAGTAGCAAAAACAGAGGGACTTGTTTTGTATTGTAAGGGAATAATCATCAAAAGTCAACAATATTAGATTTTAAAGTAAGAAACGGTTTTGCTGTCCCTCCTGTAACTCCCTTGCTTCTCCCTCTCTCCATACAGTACACATTATATATTGAATTATCATATATTAGCAAATAGCATATATTCTCATAAATCCATTACAGATGAATCTTTAAAATGAGAGAAATTTGCCTAGCATATGTGAAACGCTGAGTTTGAGCTCTAGCACTGAAAAACATTTTTTTTTTTTTGTATTCTAAAAAACTGAAATAGCAGACTGGAGAGATGGCTCAGCTGTTAAGAGCACTGGCTGCTCTTGCAGAGGAACTTGGGTTGAATCCAAGCACCCACGTGGTGGCTAACAACTGTCCATAACTCCAGTTCCAGGTGATTCAACACCCCCTTCTGATTTCTGTGAGCATTTCACAACACAGGTGCACTTACATACATGCAGGCATAAAATTCATACACTAAACGAATAGTTTCAAAAATATTTTAAAAACTGAGATAGGGCTGGTGAGATTACTCAGTGGGTTAAGTCACATAGTGGAAAGAGAACCAATTCCTACAAGTTGGCCTCAGATCTCCATATAAGCATCATGATGTTCATGTATGTATACACACACACACACACACACACACACACACACACACAGATTTTAAATAATAAAAACTTTTTTTGTTTTTTTTGTAAACAACATTCAATGAATATTTAATGAATGAAGTAATAAGGATTTAAAACAAATACTCATCATTCAAAAATAATTATAAAGCTGTTTTGAAAAGCTACATAGTTAGCTATGGGTAAGTATCTGTAGGTATTATGCACATGTTTAATTCACTGTTGCAAAATTTGGTATCATTGGTTCATATGCATGAATGACTTTTTAAAAATTATTTATTTAATAACCATATAATTAGAAGAAGCATTTTATCTTTACAACACAATTGACATATTCAATAACGGTTTCCTGAGGTAGGATGCATCTCTTTCAAAATTGGCTGTAAATTTTTAGGTTTACAGTTGAATTAATACAGTTATACAATATTGTACTCAGTATAAACCCTATAAGATATGAAATTAAATGTGTTTTTAAACTTTAAAAAAGATCTCCATTTCACTATTAAAATACAGTTTCATACAGAAAAATTCATTTTTAATACAACTGACACTATGATGCACATGTGTTTCTAATCTCTATATATCTGATTATTACTAATCAATGGTAATGTTTCTTACATCTACTAATTGTTAAGGAGCAAATTTTTATGCTTTGAAGAATTTTTTTTATTTATACACCCACTTCCCAGGTAGCACCCTCCCATAGCCTCCCTCCCCCGACTAGAGCCCTTATACTCTGATATCCCTGCTACTGTCTGCTGTGTTGTCAGCACCCCCAGCCATTCCCCACTACTTGCCCTTCTGATGAATCTAGTCAGCCTACCTAGAGGTCTTTGTTTTAGGAGGGTCAGCTGTTCCTCATCTAGCGGTAATCAGTTGTCTATATTCCTTTGGATAAGATTGGGGTCTGCTGTTCATTTTCCCAGTTCTATGCTGGGTTACTATCTGGGAATCCCTTTGGCCACCCTGGCCATCAATTCAAAAGAAGGTATCGCTTGTCTGGCATTGTTGCTTGTTATGTAGCCTTTAGCTATACATATGGACTCTTATGAAATTATGTCGGCCCATTTAATATTTGGTTATACTTTCCTTTTGGGTATTTAAGGACATACAATTGGTCCAGATAAAACTGATTTATTTTTACTCTTAAGGTCGTTTGAGGATCTGTTCCTCAGAAGTCGCATGGGCTTGGGAGGAGCCCCTGGCTCCTTTCTTTTACCAGTTCCGCCTATGTGAAGATAAGTCAAAGGTCCTGCTCGACCATGGTTGGCTTCGCTTGGAAGCATGGAGGAAATGATTCCTCTTTGTTGACCCTCCTTTTTATAGAGTGGACACTGGTTCAAGTCCATCTGGTGGGGTCTCCTCAGCCTCCTTGATCAAGAGGACAGGTGACCTACCACCATTATAGGACATTTTGAGAGCTGCTCATAGACCCTTGGAACTAGTCAACCTAGGAGGGCAAGGAGCAAAAAGTGTCCTTTATGTCCCTCTGACCAAATTATTATAGACCTCAAAGTATATCTGTTAAACACCTAAGAAGGTTAGTTCTACCAGTCTGGTATTTTTAATTACTGTGTGTCATGTAGATAAATCTTGGGCAAAGATCATAAAAACTTTTAAAACAGATAAATTGTAATATTATTGAGAACTTAACTGTAAGCCAAGCATGGTGCTACTTACTTTGAATTAACATTTTTTCCCAAATAACCCTATAAAATGTAGGTCTGACTGTCATTCTTTTAGAGAGGGAAAACCAAGACTCAGTTAAGCAATATAACTAAGGTCACAAGGGACAGAAAGATATGGAAGTCCCAAAGCATGCAGCAGTTGAATTTATACTAGACTGGGCCATACTAGTCAAATATAAGAAGTATGTAACATGAATTCATTTGCCTGTTTGATTAATGTTATTAGCTGCACACTTTGTGCCCAACTCTGACGTAGAGAATGCAGCAGTGGATAAAATAGACAAACACACTTGGTCTTATGAAGCTTGTATGTAGACAGTGAACACTTAAAGGATTCCGTATACCCAATGCTCATAAGGGATATGAAGAAAGACAAGTAGAATAGAATAGAGACAGGGGAGCAGAAGCAGGTGGCTAAGGAAGGCTCAGCGAGAAAAGAGGAAAAGTCAAGCAGGAGTCTTGGAAGACACAGCAAAAGCCCAAAAGCCCAAGTTAGAGCAAGCCTGGTATGTTGAGGGGAATGCAAGGGGACTAAGAATGGAGTGAATTAGCAGGAGATAGGACCAGGTGGGATTGTGAGCAGCTGCTCCAG